CTTTGCAGTCTGGCACATTAACCCACAGCTCCAAGTGCCTTAATTATAATGTGTTAGAATTAATTATAAAGAACAACCTGAAAGAGCTATAAACGATACAGTAAATTTTATTGCTAACCAAAAGTCCACCCATTCTAAAAGGCATGAGGAGTTTTGTTGTGTCGATGTAGGATAATCACTGGACAGGGAAATGCAAGGTCAGTGGTTCAAACCAACCAGCGGTTCCTTGGAAACCTTACACAAGGTTACCATGACTTGGAATCAACTCTACAACACTTAAAAAGAACAACAAAAGGGATGAAACCTAGACAAATTTATTTGCAACTTTGACTAAGCCTTCACAAAACAGAAAATGTCGGACTTATAAAAGCTTTATTGCAAAACAGAAGTAGGAAAGCTACTCAATACAATTTACTACTAAAATTTTTGTAGAAGTAGCCCAAGCCATGAGTCAGAAAAAGACAATGTGCCTTCTAAGATCATTTCCAAATAGAAAAGTCTGCATTTCCATTAAAAGTGTACTGAGTAAGATGTAAGAAAATGATTTAGTATTTGGTGTTCAGTCTATAAATATACTTCATTAAAGGAGTTCCTGAAACGATATTCTGATCATTCTCAATATTGGATTGGACTGAGTCGAAAACCAGGAGAGGCTTGGAAGTGGATAGATGGAAACCTATACAGTGGTTGGTAAGTCCTAGCTATGTAATTTACAGTCTAGAGCAGGACTTGGGAGTTCTGTGGCTCTGTAGGATAAGCACTGAGCTGCTAACCACAAGGTTGGTTCTTTGAGTCCATCAACTGTTCCTTGAGAGAAAAATAAGGCTTTCTGCTCCTGCAAAAATGTACAGCCTTCAAAACCTTATTTACGGTTGCTAGTAGTAAGAATCAACTCAACAACACTTAACAATAACAGAGCTGAACTCAGGGCCACTCCACCATATTTGTTATAGATTTCTGAGTTTATAAAGTTATGTTCTAGCCAAAGCGCATGAATTTACTTTGCTTTACATTCTAGCGCTATGACATTAGGCTAGAGTAAAAAGCTCGTGTTGCTATTGTTAAATGTCATTGAATCTGTTCTGACTCACAGTGACCCTGTATCCTATTCCAACAGAGCGACTGGAGGATTTGAACTGCAGAACTTTTGGTTAGTTCAGAGCATATCTTACAATGCCACACCAGCAGCAAAGGAAACTTTTTTCTCTAGTCCTTTCACTGCCCATTTATTCTTAAGCCTTTTTTTTCTGTTTTTTGTTTCAGGTTTAAAATTATTGGATTTGGAGAATGTGCTTATCTACACAAAATCGGCATCAGCAGTGCCAGTAGTCATTTGCTTAGAAAATGGATCTGCAGTAAGCTTGAAACATGTACACCAAGAAGTTAAGGAACCATAGATTTAAGATATTTTATATAACATGCAGTTTTAATTTCCCTGAAAGAAATGTTAATGTCAAAGTGCATGAAATTAATTCTTAGAAAATTTCATTATCATGTCACACCAAATTTATGAATGAATTTGAGAAGTATAGATCTCAACATATTTTAAAGTTTCCAAATCTCTTTATAGAATAGCATTTCTGATATCATTCAGCTCCGAATGAAACATTTAAATGACATGTTAAAGATAGTTAATTCTATGAATTCAGACTAAAGTCACTTAAAATTGTTCCTTTTTCTAAGAACCATCTTCCTAACATGTTTGCACTGTCCTCTCACTTGTATTATCAATACTGATTGCTAATTTTCCTCTAGTTTTGCAAACCTTGCATTATTTTTTTAACCTTTGCCTTAATCATTTTGTGCTGACCTCCCCCTTAATGTATAATGCCTTTTCATTTTTGCATTACTTTCTGAGATTCAAAATTACTCAAAAGTACTCTTTTAGACATTAGTATGCCATATAATTCAAAAATAAGAATAGTGTTTAAATGTGTTGTTTCAATATCTAAGTGAGCTTCTTTCCTTTCTCAAGCTATGACAATTTTTTTCTTAATTCACATTCAAACCATCATGTGCAGCGCTCTCACAAATACAAATAGGCAGTCTGAACTAGAAATGTTCTATTTGTGAACGCCGATTATCTAGTACAGAATAGATACATGAAAAGATTGAACCAGGCAAGGGAGTCCAGGTGGATAAGAGTGTGGTTTAAACTTTGTTGCTTAAATTTCTCTCAATCAACAAACTAGAGTGTATGTCAGAATGTCTGCATTTTCAGAGAATATCTTCTTTATGCTTACTCAAGGTTAACAACATCTCCTTGTAAAAATATAATCATTTTCTTAAAGTCATTGTAAATATGTGATATACACTCAGTGAAAGCTGAATGCATTCTTAGTGATAGAAACTCAAGTAATTGTAATAGGAAAAAAGTATTATTCTTACATCTTTATTATAGACTACACAAAATCTTCTGTCTTTTCACCCTCTCACCTCATCTTAATTTTTTTTTCTTTTCTTCCCCATACTTTCGCTTATTCGCTCTAAAAATTTCGCTATTTGCCCTCAGCATAAAGAGAGACAATGACTGTTCACAGTCAAATAAGTGCCAAAACAAGAAAAGAATAAAAGTTCTTTTCTAATTAAGAAAAACAAAAACAAAAAAAAAAGCACTACATGAGCTCTTAGAAAACTCAAGACGTTATTCTTAAGGTCTTTGTTTTACTACATTGTATTGTATTAGTATGCCTTTGTTCTCCTGTATCAGGAGTTAATGAAACTATTTTTATTGAAAAGTAAAATACAAAACTCAGTGATAATGGTTTTAGCATTAAATCTATATTTAGTTTAGAAAGTCAAAGGAATTTGACAGATGACCTTGTGACATTTAATTATTAAATACTGTAATAAGAGCAAAAATAAATACCTAAGATGTCTATTGGTTTCCCTTGCATACTATTGTAAAATGGACATTTGAGTTGGAGAGAAAGGAATGTTGGGAAACATGATTAGAGAAAACTTGTAAGCCCGCCTTCAGCCTATAACTAATTGGAATACCTAAAAGGGGTTCTACAATTTGCCCAGTGACATAGGCCTCATGCAAAGCCTTTACAGAGTATAGGACCTTAGGTGGAATCCTGAGTCCCTTCCAGAACCTTCTGAGGTGAGACCTTCCCACTAGAAAGGACAAGCAGACCAGCTTGGAACAGCTAGAACAACAGAAGCTACATCTTCAAAGAAAGATCAGCAGGAAAAACTCAACAATAAAAATGGCAGTATGACTGGCTACTATAAAAATAAGCAAGTTGTTCTCCAGGTAACCATCAAGGCAAGCAATCAAATTCCTTCAGGACAAACCCCCCTCTAACACTGAAACTGACTTTGATTATCTATGAAAATCAGAAGTTATTGAATCATTGCAAAGGTTAGTGATATCTTCAAATATACAATTCAGAATCACTCTCAGGGCAATATGAAGACTAGTGGAGTAAGAAATTATTTAGAAGACTTCTCAATAACTAGAAGAAGAAATTATATTAAAAAAAAAAAAAGGTACAAAAAACAGTAACAGTGAGAAAGAAGAGACGTTAATGGATTCAGGAACTCTTTCAGAGATGAACTTACTTAGAAAGTACAAGATCAGAGGAATGTAAAAGAAATTGAAATAAAAAATAAATCCCAAGTTTCTGTCTATACCAATCAGACAGTGATGCTGTTATTAACGGGTGTAGGAACAAAAGAAGTGAAATTATTATGTATTTAATTGTGTCTTCTCCAAATATGTGTCAAATTTGCTAAGCAATGTTATTCAGCATTATGTAATTAGTCTTTTATTTTGTAATTCGATATAATTATCTTATGTGTCATAAATCCTGAGTGCTAATAAGGCAGAATTAGAGGCAATTATGCTAATGAAATAAGGAGCTCTGGTAGCGTAGTGGTTACGAATCCGGCTGTGAACCGCAAGGTCAGCAGTTCGAAACTACCAGCTGTTCCGCGGAAGCAAGATGAGGCTTTCTGCTCCGGTAAAGATTTACAGCCTCGGAAACCCTGTACAGGGTCACTATGAGTCGGAACCGACTCCACGGCACATAACAACAACGCTAATGAAATAGGTTTAGAATTGTATCTTTTGAAATATGAAAGAGATAAGTGAGCAGAAACCACCAAGAATAAAAATCTGGGAGGAGTAGAACATCCTTTGGACTTGCGGTTCCTATACTGAGAAACTCCTAGACAAAGAGGAAGACTGATGCCACTGAACATCCCTTGGCGCTGACGTAAAGAAAAAGGCTTCTCTTATACCTGGCATCCTAAATTTTTTAGCCTTCTAAACTCAGAGAGAATAAATATCTGTTTATTAAAGTCATCTGTTTGTGGTTTTTCTGTTATAGCAACACTAGGTAACTAAGGCAAGTAAATTTCTATAAGAGAATATCTTACTGAGTTCAAGAATCTGTAGGAAATTCAGGTGGAAATGCCTAGCAAGAAGTGAAATGTATAGCTTCAGAACTCAGGGACAAATATGGCTGATAAATTAAATACATACAAAATGAACTGCAAAGACATAAAATATCAAAGAAGTGCATGGTAGCGAAGAGCAGGTAATTATTTACTTACTGGGAAAATAACTTTCTTTTAGAAAATATTTTTTTTCTAATTTTCCTTTTCAGTTTTTAGGGGAAGTGTCTAGATCAACAGTTTTTTGAATGTAGTCATTTTTTAGTTGAGTCTGTGTCTAGAAGAGCATGGCAATACAATATAACTACACCCAAACATATCAGCTTCTGGGTATTTACAGAAGATTAAATAAGAGTAACACATAGTTTTCAGGATGTCATTGTTGTTGTTGTTAAGCATCATAGAGTTAGTTCCTGCCCATAGTGACTCTATATAAGGTTTCTGAGGAGCAGCTGGTGGGTTTGAATTGCTGACCTTGTGGTTTGCAGTCCAGTGCTGATCCTACAACGCCACACCAGGAGTCCATTATTCAAGATCGATACTGCCATTTTGTGTGGTTCTGGCTCTGCAGTACATCTAAAACTGAAGTTTTCCAAGATCAAAAGGAAAATGTGGTATTGTTTCATTATCTTTCCAGTTTTAGTTTTAAGAATTATGTGATTAATATATTGGTCCTCTTTAACAATATATATTTAAAAAATGTCAAAAATCCCTTTAAATGGCTCATGATTTTATGGAGTCCTGGTGATGCAATGGATATGAACTTGTTTGCTAACCAGAAGAGCAGAATTTCAAACCTACCAGAGGCTCCCTGGGAGAAAGATGCAGCAATGTGCAACCATCAAGATTGTATCTGTGGAAACCCTATGAGGCAATTCTATTCTGTCCTACAGGACTGCCATGAGTCAGAATCTACTTGGCAGGAATGAATTTATTGTTGCACAACACTTAGGACATAGATTTGAAACTATCTTCTTCAAGTTTATCAATTAATACTAAAATAAAACGGTTGTTTAAAAAGTGAATTGTACATTTAAAAGAAAATTGCAAACATTTGGAGAAGAACAACTTTAAAATTCTAGATAAACTACTTCTAAAAGATATAATATAAAAAAACGAAAGCAGCAAATTCACTTTTTATAATACTTAATAGAAAAGTCAAATAATTTTTCAATGATGTCTTTTCATACAAAATGTATTGAGGATAATTGAGGGTATGAGAGTGTTGTCCATAAATTCAATCTTATAATGTGGTAATGAATGTCATATATAGTACATTATAGAATGTAATAATATAGTGCAGTAATGAATGTCATATATAGTACATTACAGAATGCAATAATACAGTGCGGTAGTGAATATCATATATAGTACATTACAGAATGTATGATATAGCATGGTAATGAATGTCATATATAGTACATTACAGAATGTATAATATAGTGTGGTAATGAATGTAATGTATAGTCCATTACAGAATGTATAATATAGTGTGGTGATGAATGTAATGTATAGTCCATTACAGAATGTAATAATATAGTGTGGTAATGAATTGAGATATATGGATACTTGGATTTGAGAGATGCTTACTTGAAACCCTGTATGTGAGGTCACTATGAGTCAGATTTGACCTAATAGCAACACAGCACCTAATAACAACACAGCATCATAGGTTTAAGGAGCTCTGGTAGCATAGTGGTTATGAATCGGGCTGTGAACCGCAAGGTCAACAGTTCAAAACTACCAGCTGTTCCGCGGGCGAAAGATAAGGCTTTCTGCTCCCATAAAGATTTACAGCCTCGGAAACCCTGTTTAGGGTCGCTATGGGTCGGAACCGACTCGACGGCACTTAACAACAACAACAACAACATCATAGGTTTAGAGATAAGACATATCTTTATGAGTAAACAAAAATAGTAGTATTTAATGAGATATATTATTTCAAAATTGATTCTTGAGTTACAATAAAGAAGAAATGCAACC